ACATACACATATGTTGTTGTTAGGTGCTATTTAATCAGTTCTGACTCATAGCGACCCTGTATAGGATTTCTGAGGAGGAGCTGGGGGGTTTGAACCGCCAACCTTGTGGTTCGAAGTCTAGCACTGATCCTACAGCAGCACACGAGTTTTTGTATATATAAGCTCTGGTGTGGCTCTGTAGGATAAATGCAATATTGACAGTTCAAACCCACCAGCCACTCTTGGAAATTGGAAACCCAAAAAGGAATGCTGTGAATCATCAACAATGCAATGGCACACAACAGCAACAACATATGTATATGCATATATCTATTTCCCCCTTCCCCCTAGGTAAGTGACCTGAGTTAAACAAATGGGTTGTGGTAATCAATACTCAGTCTGTGGCAGGCTTGTGCCATGTAAAACATATGTATTGTGCAATCTGCTCTGATCCTGAAGTAGCCCTAATGAATATTGCTAACCTGGCTTTTAAAGAACTAGATAAAGTTCAGGAAGTTAGTAATTTGTGTAGTATCAACTGGCCAGTAACCTGATACCCACATGCATGCCCTCATTCTTTCACTGACTTTTCTTTCACTGCTCCACTCGCTGTCAAAGGAGAGCTGCGGGAAGCTCTAGTTCATGCTTCAGGTCCCCAGCTCAAGAACGTTTATGGTAGAGTCCATATTCTCTTCACTCTTCAGCTGTGTTTGTTTTCTACATTTTCCCTCACTTTTTCCATTTCAGTGACAGTCTAATCACTCAGTCACCATTATAGAGATTATATACATGAAGAAACGTTGGTGGTGACTTTACACACAGAGAGGGAAAAGGGCTGCGTGCTGACGACCAGAGGACAGGCTTGTAGTATTATACCCTTTGGTTGGTTGATGATGCATGGAGGGGACTGTAACCATAGCAATGTAACGATATACAATAGGATGAGTGTAAAACTAATGTTCTCCCATGTAAACTATCACATAATTCACAATAAAACATTTAAAAAAAAAAAGAAAGAAAAAGAAATGATGGGGCCTTATTTTAAATCAGGTATTTTTATAATACAAAATTTCTTAAATTATTTGCAACTCAAAAATTTCCCGTGTTCTACAAAGACCTTGGTTTTTACCTGAGATTTCGCTTCTCCTCCCTACCCTGCCACACTCTTATCCCCTTCTAATAACTTTCATGGAGTCATGGTGTGGCACTGTGGGGTCGCCAGACTGCAAAGCCGTTTGAGCTCATCAGCCGCTCCTCAGAAACCCTATACAGGGTTGCTAATGGGCCTGAACTGACTGGAAGGTACTTAACAACAACAATAACTTTCATGGACACCTCAAAGAGCAATTGTATGCAAAATACCTTCTCTTTGTCCGTGTTAACTAGCTTTTTGTCATCTCTGTTTTTGAGCTTCCCAGGTGCTTCTGCGGTTGGCAAGGAGGAATGGAAGATGAACAGCTTCCCAGGACACTCTGCTGCCTAAAATAAACCACAGCAAATGACATGGGTGGGAAGGTTTTAAGGGAGTCAGAAAATAAATTACAAAGTACCTTCTATAAACCAGATACTATATATATCTTATTTAATCCTCAAAGTAACCTTTGTGTCCTTGGGCAAGTACTAATCCCTCCAGTTTATGGATAGAAAAACAAGAGGCTTAGGGACGATAAGTAATTTATTCACGTTGTAAAGGAAAGAGCTAGAATTTAAATATAAGTCTGTATACCATGATACCTTAGGGTGCATTACTATTACATGTGCTACAATCAAATTATTTTCTTGCTTAGTCACAATATATGAGGGGACTTCAAAAAGTTTGTGGAAAAATTCCATAATTTTTAAATTCCATTTACTCCATGAACTTTTTGAAGCCCCTCAGTCTTGAAGGAACAAGTGAATCCTGTGATAGAAAAGTGCATGATAGAGTTCCCAGGATCATATGGAACAGAAGCTATTAATTCAACCTTTGACTTAACCTAATATCATCGTGTTCAAGGTAGAATGCACAAGAATGTAATGGTGTTGTGGCAACAGCAGACATCAGGAATTAGCTATCAGGCATGACAGCAAAAGGAAAAATGTATGAACAACATTCATACACCTAAAGTCCCTAGGAAGTAATAGAAGATTTCAGCCTCTGTGAAACTCAGTTCAGCATTAAGAATATTTAAAATCTTATTTAATGAACTAAGAAGTAGTGTACCAAGTAAAATTTACTGAAATTAAACGTGATTCACCATAGTAACCTGCTCCCCAATCTTTCCTTTCTCCAATCCATCCTGCACACTGGAACTGGAATGCTCTCTGAAATAAAGACAATTGTTCTGACCATGTGACTTTTCTCCACAGGACAAGGTCCACAGGCTATCTTCATGGGAACAGGAGAAGGAAGAGGGAATGACGTGAGTTGCTCCCAACATTTGCTATGTGCAGCTCTGTGTAACACCCTCTACACAGATTTACTTTCTTAACCCTGAGAAGTAGGCAACATTTTCTGCATGTTAAAGGTGTGAAAATTGAGGCTCTGCACCCAAATATACCCCTGCTCACACAGCCAATCAATAATAACTTATAGGCCCAGTGAAGTTCAATCTAAGACTATTTTTTTCTAATGTTTCTTTACCCCTACCATTTGGACTACAGGATCACCACTGGACTGCGAACCACAAGGTCAGCAGTTCAAACCTATCAGCGGCTCCTTGGAAACCCTACACAGGTCGCTATGAGTTGGAACTGACTTGATGGCACTTGACAACTACAGCCATTCTTTGATGGACTCCTGGCGTCATGCTGATGGATAAGCACTGGACTGCAAACTACAAGGTCAGCGGTTCAAACCCACCATCTGCTCCTTGGAAACCCTGTGGAGGGTCTCTATGAGTTGGAATCAACTCAATGTCACTTAACAGCAATACCATTCCTTGCACTGCAAGTTGCAGCCTCACAAGTGAGTGTTTTCACTCATCTCTGTATCTCTGCATTCTGTTACCTCACCCAGAATTCATCTTTAGCTTTTCTCTGCTTGGCACTATAGTTTGCGATGGCTGAGTTCAGTGGCACACTAGTGAAATGCTACTACTAATAAGGAACTCAAGTTTGTGCGTCCTGGGTGCAGGGGCACTGTAGAATAAGCACTGGGCAGCTACCTACAAGATCAGTGGTTCAAACCCATCAGCCACTCCTTGTAAACCTTATACTAGGTCATCAGGAGTAAGAACAACCTCGATGTTACTTAACAACAAGAAGGCCAATGAATGTGGGCTAAAGATGAAGCTTTTGCTCTGTTAAAGATCTAAGCCTATATAGGATTCAACAGCAGGGTTGGTTGCTTTTGTTTAGTTTTGTGAGTAACTTCCTTAAAAAACAAACTGAAAACTTCAAGTTTGTTGTTATGTTGTTTGTCATTGAGTGGACTCAGACTCAGGGCAACATCATGTGTGTAGAATGTGACCTCCTGGAAGCAGATCACCAGGCAGGCCTGTCTTCCAAGGGGCCTCTTGGTGGTTTCAAACTATCAACTTTTTGGCTAGTAGTTGAGCACTTATGTGTTCATGCTACCCAAGTGAGCCCTGTCTTCATGTCTGCTTCATTGAGTGTGTTCTGATACACTTTCTGGAAAAAATACACAGAACACTTTTGGAAGGTATGTAACTTGTAGCCTTTCTAGTCTTGGCTGTTGCCAGTAGTCAGCATGAATTTGTGAGTTGTGATTTTATTGTTACCTAACTTTTTTGCTGAACACTACTGATGGATACAACATTAATAAGAAAGAAGGCAAGACTGAATGAAAAAAGTGTATGTAGTAAATCTATACCTATATTTACATTACATAGGAGAACCATATGAGGATGCTTCAAGAAGTTTGTGGAAAATGGGATTAAAAGATACTGGAATTTTTTCATGAGCTTTCAAAAGCCCCCTTGTACTATCAACATTTTGGCAGTAGAAATACATTACTTCCAATAACCATTTAGGAGCCCTCGTGTGGCTATAGGATAAGCACTGGACCACAAGGTCAGTTTGAACCACAAGGTCGGTGGTTCAAACTCACCAGTCGTTCCTTGGAAACTCCATATGGGGTGAGCCGGAACCAACTCGATGGCACTTGACAACAATGACCGAATTAGAGTAAACACTACAGTAATATTGATAATAACTTCTTTGTTGTTGTTAAGTGCTGTGAATTGGTTCTGACTCGTAGTGACCTTAAATACAGTTTCCAAGGCTGTAAATCTTTACAGGAGCAGGACATGTTAAAGCTCTTGAAATTCTACAAATGTAGTTTTTTCATTTCTATTGTTTTTATTGGGCAGTTCTAACCCACCAGTGGCTCCTCAGAAGAAAGAAGACACTGTCTGCTTCCCTAAAGATTTACAGCCTCGGAAATCTAAGATAAGGTCTCTGTGAGTCAGAATTGACTCAGTGATGGTGAGTTTGGGTTTTGGTTTATTATTTTTATCATTATAAAAGTACTTTTAAAATTTTTTAAAAATTCAAGTAGTAGAAGTATAAAGTTAAAAAAAAAGTATTCCTTCTTCCTAACTTTTGCTGCTATTGTAAAAAACTACATGTAATACACTATTTGCCAATTCAACATTTTCAGACATACAATTTAGTGATATCAATTATATTAATTATGTTGTGTAAGCAACACCTATACTCACTGCCAAATTTCCATAAACAAATACACACTGCTTCCTAAATCCTCAAATTTTCTTGCTGGCCCATCTAATTCCCTAAGTGATTCACTCTTAAAAGTTCTAGTCATCTAGCCATTTTCTGTTCACAGATGCATTTTAATTTTATACCAAGCAGTTAAGAGCACAGGTCCTAGTTCCTACCTGCCTGGGCTAGAATCTCAGTCATTTTGCTAGCTGAGTTACATTGTGTAAATTATTAAACTTCTCTAAGCCTGAGTTACATAAAATATAATCCAAACCAAACCCACTACCATAGACTTGATTCAGATTCATAGAGACGCCATGAGTCTATACAGGAGTAGTTGTTGTTATGTGCCGTGGAGTCGGTTCCAACTCACAGCGACCCTATACAGGGTTTCCAAGGCTGTAAATCTTTATGGGAGCAGAAAGCCTATCTTTCTCCCATGGAATAGCTGGTAGTTTTGAACTGCTGACCGTGAGATTAGCAGCCCGATTGGTAACCACTACGCAACCAGAGCTCCTTCTATCCAGGAGAAGACAGCCTTATTTTTCTCTTGTGAAGCAGTTGGTGGGCTTGAACTGCTGACCTGTGGTTGGCAGTCCAGTTCTTATCCTACAGCACCACCACACATATTGTAGGAAAAACATTGTTATTGTTAGCTGCTGAGAAGGCCCCTGACTCATAGCAACCCCACGTGCTACAGAGCAGAACTGCCCGGTAGGGTTTTCTGGATTGCAATCTTTACAGAGGCAGTTCACCGGACCTTTCACGGAACCACTGAATGGGTCTGGACAGCCAACCTTGGGTTAGCAGCCAAACAGGAAAAATAATGCCTACTGAAAATAATTGTTGAGAAAAATGATCCAGTGCATGACAAAAATCATAGTCGTCGTTAAGTGCCACCAAGTCAATTCTGACTCATAGCAACCCTGTATAGGGTTTCCAAGGTGCATCTGGTAGGTTTGAACCAGACCTTGTGGTTAGCAATCCAGTGTTTATCCTACAGTGCCATTCAAATCTCTTGTACAATAAACTCTTAAAGGAAAAAACCAGGGTCCATTAAAACAAAATAAAATTCAGTATTTTTTTTTAAGCCATTTTTATGTATTTGTCCTTGTAAAGTGACTATTAATTTTAAACCCGGTTGTTTCACTAATAACTTATAGGATTTTTCATGAGTAGCAAGTTAACAAAATATCAGGAAAAAAAGCATTTATAGTATTATATTTTGTATGTCTCTACAAATGTATGATTTTGATAAAAAAAATATGCCTGCACCTGCAGGTGTGTTTCATATAGAATTAGGTAGATGACTCATGTGATTCTTATTATGGCTCAAAACATGTTAAAAAAGATTCGTCTGGAGAATTCAGTGCTCAAAGTTCAGTTCTGATACCCCTTCTCTGAAAGGCATGTTGCTAACGCTCTCAGCAGAGCTGGGTGTCTCCACCTCTAGGTCCTTGCTCTGCTTTGCAAACAAGACTATTCTAGAGTTCATGACACTGTAATTCTGTGCCTTCTCTTATAGTTCAAGTACTCCATGAAACAAATGGAATCTTGTTTTTTCTACATTATGTTAGGTCCAGTGCCTTTCATGCTACAAAACCTGTTACTGCAGAGTTAAACTGACTCCTGGTGAACCCTTCTGTGTGTCAGAGTAGACTTGTGCTCCACAGAATTGGCACTGGCTAATTTTTTTGGAAATAGATTTCCAGGCCTTTCTTCCAAGGCTTCTCTGGATACACTTGAACCTCCAACCTTTTGATTAGCAGCTGAGCATGTGAATGGTCCTTACTGGTGCTCCACAAATGTTTGTG